CGCCTTTGTATTAAAAATTTTTGGGAGTCGGCATTAGCAGGCAGATGCTTTTGCTGCTTAGGGTACTCACATACGGTCGTTTTCGCTGCAGACGCTGGGGCGTGACAGAAGGGAGCTAATGCCGTTTAGACTCCAGCAATTTCGGCACCGAGCTCATTTTTAAATTGCCTAAGTCACCAAATCCGCTAAAAACTTGTATTTAGGGGTAGTTTAACATCCTGATTACGAATGTGACATTCACTCTTGCCGCTGGCGCTAATGGATGACACTACGATTATCTGCGCTCCGCTAAGGCTGAGCCCAAGAGGTAATCGTAGTGCCATCCTTTGGCGCCAGCGCCAAGAATGAGTGTCATAATTGTAATCACGATGGTAAATAACCCTTGTGTACATGTTTTCAGCGAGGTTTGGTGACTTAGGCAATTTAAAAATGAGCTGTGCGAAGTTGCTGGAGTCCAAATGGCATTAGCCACAGAAGGGTGGGTTTGGCGCGGCGTCAGCCCGATCTCCTTTGACTGTTGAAGCGGGTAAGTTACAACAGTTCGTGAACACGACGCGGCGCCGCGAAGCCCCCCCTGAACCCAGCATCGCCGCAAAGAACTAAGGGTATAACAGTCTCTATATTAAGTACTGTCGGGGCGGCACAGCCGCGCCGCACTGTGACGCGACAGCGGCTGCGGCTCGGTGACGGTGAATCAGCTGATTTCCATGGAATTCGGCTGCAAATTCCCACTTTTTCAGCTCTTCGTTCTAAAGTGGAAGTTGAGTTATTCTAACCGATTTTGAATTGTACTGGCTCTAATTTCCTTTATTTTTATGTCGATTATTATGCTCTTTTCCTGTATTTTGCCTTATTTCAGGTATTTATTCAAATGGCTTACATTCTTTCAGATTCATTCGAGTTCAGAACAATTCTAAATTGGTCAGAATAACTTACCACTTTAGAAGCTTGAAGAGCTGAAAAAGTTGAAATTTGCAGCCGAATTCCATCAAATCAGCTGATTCACCGTCACCGAGCCGCAGCCGCTGTCGCGTCACAGCGCGTCTGTGCCGCCCCGACAGGACGTAATGATGAGGTCTGTATCTATCAGCAGTGAAGCAGCCAGACACCAGCGCATCGATCCGAACATCACGCCGCGCGTCACGATCGCACGCGTGAGGAACCGACGGTGCAAGGGCGGTCAAAAGAGGACATAGATCCATGAAGAAGTAATAGAACTGACAAAGGCAAACAGTAAGGCGAAGAAGATAGATGGAAGTGCCCAATTGGATGTTTCGAATCCAAATAGATACATCGGATCCTTTCAGAATCTTCTCAAAATAGATACCAGCAAATCCAGAAAGGCAGCATGCCACCAAGACAGCGATGAAACCTGAAAAAAAGCAGAAAATGGAAGGAAGAAAAATAAACACACAACTGTCACAAAGCATTAAGAACGCTGGAAAAAATACTTAAAGGCAGCATTCGCTCGAAAAATAGGTATGACCTCTGCAAATGTGTCGACGATCCGGTAGGCGGTTTTTGAGGCTGCGCTACTTTCGTAAATGTGAAAAACGGCAAGAACTCCGCTAGAAGCTGGCTAATTAGGCCCATGGACACCCCTTAGGCCCATGCCGACCCTCACCGGCTGCTAGCTACTAGCTAGTAGCCACTATGTTATCTTTATCTATAATTGCGGAGTGCTTTTACTGGGCTGCTTTTCTCGCTAATCGAGTGATTTAGCGACTTTTTTATGCGCCTTTTGCGTTAGTTTGCCTGAATTTGCGGTCGCGAATTGTGCCTTTAACCTTCCACAACGAGGATCTATGCTTAGAAAATTGGTCAGTTTTTGAAACAATTTTCCATATCTCGGTTCTTACCTAGAATAGAATTCTGCTCATGAACTTCACGCTTAGGCCGTGCCACATCATTTATTATTGGTGCCAATGTTGTACCATTGATTACGTCGGACGAAGAATCCTTAAAAACTTCTATTAATGTGGACGCTCCTTGTTCTACCTGTCAAATAAAGTTGTTAAAAAGTCTCTGTGATTCTTATGAATGTATCGAATTCGCTCATTTCAAAAACTTATGTGGCGCAGATCGAAGTTTTGCGGGGTGGAAGCTTATTCAGCCATCGCCTCTATAACTTGGCGCTTGAGAAGTACGTGGCTATATAAAACGTTAGACCTGTTGAAATTCCAGCTACGGCGCGGAGCACTAGTCCACGCCCTCTAATGCTCAGTGAGGACAAGTAGTCTCTTATCCGCCGTGTTCTATACAGGGTAGCAAAAATTATCTTGAAATCTTTTGAAGCTGTTTTGTTATGATAACTGCTGTTTAACGCCGCAGTACGCGTGGTTGCGGTTCCATGCCGATATCTAACGATTACGGCTGACCGGCTCACCAAGTTAAACGTGTGAGTGCTGTAAGGTTACGGCATAAGCCGTTAAGCTGAGAGAGGTAAAAGCGGCCCTGGTGGCGTAAAGGATAGCGCACTCGCCCGGAAAGCGTGAGGTGCGGGTCGACTCCTGTGCAGATTTTGGCACCACAACTCAGCATTCTCGTGATATCTTGAAAAATTTCTTCCGATCCGGCCGGTCTTGAAATCTGACCGCTCCTTACTTGTAACCACGTACTGACACGTGCCCCTTCACACCAATACGCCCGATTACGACCCACCCATACGCTAATTTCTTCGGCACATGCTGCGTGAGGAACACATACTGCTTTGGTCAATGTGGACCCTCACGTGACATCACTACGAAACTACCAGGTGTTTTCTTTCTTTTAACGAAAAGTTGTTTTTGATACCATCAGTTTTTGTGAAAGCGTCTTCAATGGTCGGCATTGCTGTTGACGAAATTTCGTTTGCCATCGCAGCTGCCAAGCGTTCAGCCTTTTCTCGATCATTAGACATTTTCTGGTCCTGAAAACTGGTCATGATAATCCTATAGTAAACAAATGGTAATGCCCACAACATTGTTTTGCTGATGCTCTCTTTCAGGTTCGATTTTTTATGATTCGGTGAGCATAGGGACCCTTCTGATGGTCAATTTGTAGAGGGCATGTTTCAAGTGTTTACTTCGAATGATGTTGGAGATGAGCCTTGTTAATGAATTTTTCTAGCATCCTTTGACTTCCTCCAACTTTCCCAAAAAATTCTCCGCCGAGCGGAGGAGGAGGGGGGATGTAGTGGGAGCGCGTCACCAATCACTACTAAGTTTTAATAAAGTAGTAGTATCACGAAAAAAAATAGCAGTGTTATATCGAAACAAGTTAAAATGAGGAACGAGAACGATGAAAAAGTTAACTCACATACTGAACAATGCTACGCCAGCCCAAAAAAAGAAAAGCGAAACCCATTGTTGAATGGACAGTTTTCGACCCTAGTACTATACAGTGAACACAGCTGTGGTGAGAATTTTCAGTTGATAAGTGACCTGCAATATCGAGACTTTAAAAAATACTATTCTACAACTGCTATCAACGCAACAATGTAAAATAAGTAGAAAGAGGAAATACCATATAAGTAGCAGCTGGCAGATTTTCGCCACGTGACATAAGCAGAAATTCTGAATCGTATTAGACAACTGCTGGTACAGTAGCTTTCAGCGGCATGCAGCCAATGATGGAAAATTGATTCATAATTCTGGGCTAGGCCCTGAAAAAAAGAAAGGTTCGTTACGTCTCAAACTTCAAGTTACGATAAGATATCGCTAATCATTGATTTTTATTGTCCTGTCTGATATTTGTACCCATTAGATGCCGAGTGAATTAATGCATGACGATATGAAAGCGACCTACAGTCCTCATCATTGCGGACCGGTGGGGCGTGTCAGCCAGAAGGAGTGCGCACACTGTTGAAGCCGTTCTCAGCCTTTTTGTTGCAACGCGTATGCGACAAAAAGTGGTAGAAAACGAGTAATACGAAGGATATAATACAGTAATGCACTTGCCCGCTTCAAACCCTGGTGCAGAACGATTTTGCCAAACCGCACCAAACGCAGCCGCACTGCCACGCCCCACCGGTCCGCAATGATGAGGACTGTAGTATGGTATGGCGCCACCAGGTGGTATAATTTTTCCTAAGATATTCCCTGGAAACCTCCATGTTGAACTTAGACTTTCGGAACAGGCCGCACACAAGTCACTGGAAATATTATTGCGATTTCCTCTCAAGTTCAGACTCAACGATATAAACGATGGCACTCTTTGAAGTCCCGCTCCGAACTCATTTGTTATTCAGTAGCCCTCTTTCGGAATGATAGTCCTTTCCGCAAGCATGAAGGATGTACCACCTTAGCAGCTCGAAAATATGTGAGGAGCGCGATCCACTCGCGACGAGCCACTGCTCCGCCCACTGGCCACGGCAACGCCCATCCTCTATTTCTGAAGGTTTCCTGGTGGTGCGATTGTACGCCGCTACTAGCTCTCTTAATTTCAAGAGGTGGTAGTGGGATGATAAGTAGAAACAGCGAACCGACAAATAAAACTGGTCCCACCAGCCCTTTCTTCGCCTTGTGCACGTGCAAGTGCTGTTGAGCATGGGGTTCTATATGGAGCATTTCCGCCGGGTTTTCTCTGCTTTTTTCCTCTTTTTTTATTATACCACTTGTCGCTGATATTTCAGCGGCACATCCCATCATTTTGAACGCGGGGAACGTCCGTGATCATTCTAACGTCCCATTCTTTGAGAGCTAGATAAAAGCTTGAAGTTGGCGAGAATTTTGCCCATAGAAGTAGTTTGAAGTACCAGTAACTTCTGCATTCGAAGGATAAGTAATCGAGGGCACGTTGACCTATGTCTTCTTTTATAGCTAGTGCTGGTGCCAGGCGCTTCCGAGCTAAATTAACGGAGTATTCCTGTCCAGAATAGCAGAGTGCGAGGTTTGAACGAAATTGAAGAGTTCGAGGTGGGCTGGAGCGGGTCCCGGGGGAGGCCATTTTGGGGCTAACCAATGTGATTTGCGTTCAGAGACTAAATGAGATAACTTGCAGCTCATTTGTGAACTGTAGGGCAAAGTAACTTAAATTATTTTGATAATAAATACTCATGACTTACTTTTTAACACTACGTTCCTGCAGACATACTAATACGACACTAGCTACGAACTTGAACACTTCAGCGAAGAAAACTGAGATCGCCTGAAACAGCTAACCTTCATGCTAGGTATGGTAAACATACCCCAGATTACAAGACTAGAAACCAGATTTGCTGCACAAAGTAATCAGCGTGGGACATAATACAGTCCAATTTTTGATATTTCACGAATCTCCGTCTATGAGTTATTAGAATCTAACAATTGGTAGAGTTAGTTGAAAAGGAATGAAGGGAGAATGAAAGAGATACAGGCAGGGTACAGCGTCGTGATGTGTGAAGTGGTGGTACCAGTACGACCCCCCCCCTCTCGAGGAGGGTCTTGGTACGATTGCCCAC